CGACCATTTCGTCTATTCCACTTCGCCTGTATTAGACATTCGACTAAACAATATCCTTGAATTTTATGTATGGCTAAACTGAATACTTGCATTTCATCTACATCCTGAAAAGCTGCTATAAGTAAAGCATGTCTGTATATAATCTATGTGTTTGGCTATTTACGTATTTCGATAGACAAAGAGACAGTAAGATATAAAATTATATTCTGTGCAGTTACTTCTCATTACGTTAGGTTAGCGCTTTAGTTAGATTTATGATTTGTATTAGGTTCGTTTTGTTACTCGGGGTTTTATTATTGTACTTTAATTGTTATTAGGTTAAGTTAGGTTAGGTTAGTTAGGTTAGGTAAGAATATTGGTTGGGATTTTATTATAGTATTTATTTTATTTATTTAGTGTTCTGTCTGACGACAGGTCCATATGAACAGGATCCTTCCATCCTTTTCTCGGATTGGGACCTGTTCATATACGTTCTTGGCAGATGATCCAGAAGTGGTTTGCCATTGCCTTCTTCTGTGTGTGAATGGAGTAATTGTCGGGATGCCACGGAGAAACCGTGGAAGCCCCCGGAGGAAAACTCCGTGTTGCCCAGACCACGGCCTTGCCCAACACAAGTTATAAATTCGGGCACCGCCGGGAATCGAACCCGATACCCCCAGGATTACAAGGCCAGCGTTCTAACCGCTAGACCACCGTGGAATTTTATTATAGTACAGCCGTAAAAATGTAACAAACACTACCGAGTTTTTGATTATTTAACGATACCTAAATAATTGCGTATGTTGTGTCGTTATGACCGGATTGTTCTAAATGATTAACTGAAAAGGGCTTGGAAGGATGCGGTCTGACGTATTTTGAGGAGGTATTGCATACATTTCCTGAAGTGACTGAAGGATACCACAAAAAGATCAGTCAGGATAGATAGCCTGTCTCTATACTGAGATTGAAACCTCCTGAAAGCTCCCCAGTACGGGCAAATGTAGAAACTGTCATCAGAGAGGCCACGACCACTGCCCCCTAGTAACGCTTCATAAACTCTGCAGGTGACACAGCGTTCAATCAATTCTTTTATTTTCAGGCAACGCGTGGATTTTGACCCGAAGTCGACACCCGACGCTGGAAATCATGGAGAAAGCGTATTCCGTCGTTGACAAACACGGAATAAGTCGAGCGTACTTCATTCGCACTGACCACAAGAACTGTCCAAACACGTGGCATTGACACGTGGTACACTCATCTGCGCAGGTCTTCGGAAGATCTGCTGCAGAATAATGGATTGACTGCAACACATCGGTTTGAGCAATCACGTGTTTACCTTGCGTAACAAATTCACAAAACGTTAAATGGCTTGCCTTTCATCGATCGATGCATCTGAACGCCTTCGCTACTGAAGTTTACAGCAGGTAGGCAACTGAAAATACCATCAAAATTCACGTTCTTTTTCTTCGCCGACTACAAACTGAACTACAAGATGGAACTTAAATTCTGACGACAGAAAGGTGCAGGCTGTCAATCTGCACGGCATCTGCACCTGCTCCAGTCCCTGTGATGGTTCTGGCCTGTGGAGCGCCTTCTTTCCTCAGCTGCTTTGGTCGTGCTCTTCCTCAGTCACCTCGTGAGGTCCAGTTAGCTATGTTAAACTCCTTTTGGCCACTTCCTTCCTTCTTCCCACTCATTCTTCTTGTTGTTGCATAGAATTAGTTTCGAAGTCCCAATTATTATTAATTTCAAATTTGTTGTTGCATAGAATTAGTTTCGAAGCCCCAATTATTATTAATTTCAAGCAGTCCTCATATGAATTGTAAATTGTTCATCCTGTGCAATAAGGACCTAGTCATCTGCGAAGTTTAGTGTAAACCGGTAAGTGCCATTTATTGTGCCAGCCTTCGCTCATTTACACGAAGTCCATTAGTCTTAAGCTTCTTGTTGCAGCAAAGGCGCTGGAAATATTACCCCATGTCTCACAAAATTATATTATTCCACAAACCTCTTAATTAATTCAATATTCTCTGGATTTATCTTTAATGTTTTCAAAATTTCTTGTACTTTACATATTGGTCTGGAGTCACAAGCCTTATCCAGACCAATAAAAGCAAACGATTTACTAAACTGTCTAGACGAGGATGTCCCTGGTCGAAGACAACTTTGATTTTGCTAGGTTGCGATATATCGCACTCTGTCTCCCGTACTTCTTCTGTTTCACACTGTTACGTTTCTTCAATATCGACGTGACGTAACTTATCTCCATCTGTCTGGTGTTCTTCTTTGCTGGTAAGAATTAGTATATAAATATGGTTTATTCCCTGTTAGCTCCGCATGTAGTTAAGCCGCCAAGTCCAGGTGATAATCTGTTTTTCATGTAACAAACACCTTCAGATAATTTCCCTTCTGTAAAAATTAATTCTCTGCGTTCAGCACAGGCGAGTGGCGCTGTAATCTGATACTGGGTTCGTTCAGGAGAGTCTCAGTGGTTTTCCCGAGCGAGATTAATTCGGTTCTAGAAACGTCCTAACAGACAATATGTTTCTTGATATTTTCTCTCCCAGGTCAGATTCAGTAATTATTTTCAGTTCGAAGTCTGTTCCTTTGTTTATAATCCTACCACTTCTCAGCTGTACTGAATATTTTGTCGTAAATGAGGAGTACAAACTTTTCAAAAAATTAGATTTGAAGTAGTCCAGATGGCATCACTTAATGTAGTGCTCGAAGGAACTTCAATGAACATAAACGATGCGGATGGCAGAGCAAATATCAGGAGGGGACGCCTATGTTACGTGATACGACACCAAACACAACCGTCTCCAAACTGATCACACTGGACTGACGCTGGAGGAGTTAGGAGTATGTAAGCTCATTATTGCACATTTTGCTTCTAGTTTGTTTGTTTGTTTGTTTGTAATTTATTGGTTGTGTATTCAATGTTATTTATTCCTTTTGTTACAGATTAATTAATGTTACTGTGACAGATATTTATTTTTACTTTACTGATTGTCATTAAAATGCTGCATTTGATTCAAAACAATATTTTGTTTTAATAAATCAATTGGAAATAATAATTATCAGTCGATGATTTAATGAATTAATGAATACTGGTGATTACTTCGTAAATGTTGAGTTCAGTTGCCAGTTAATGTTTAGTAATACGAGAACAATTAAACTGCATAGTGGAGGGGGGGGGTGAAGACCTGAGTCAACTGAAAGAGCTTCGGACGACAAGTACCTCACACCGACAAATGACGGACGATTCCTGTGGTTAGGGTGCAGTCTTCCTCAAGAGAAGTTGCCTGTTTTCCTCGGGTACCTTCCTTAACAAATTAGAATACAATTCAGGAGGAAATTAGGAACAATACGTTCGGGGATTTCCTTGCTACTACGCATTTCAGAATCTTTTGTCTTATCATCGACTGCATAAAAATTAAAATATACAAAACTATCATTTGTGTCTGTTGTTTTCTGTGGGTGTGGGATCTGGTCGCTGACGTTTGTGGTAGAACGAAGACTGAAAGTTAGTTCTCCTTCCCCCCACGGCATATTCACTCACTTGCTGTAATTCTTGACTTCGCTTCCGACTGTGGGTGGACAAACCTCGCCACGTGGCTGAATGAGTGCCTGCTGACGTCACAGGGTTGCCAGTTTGTCATTTAGACTTCATCAGGGTACAAAAGCGGCGGGATAGTCTGTACTCAGGCGCTGTTTGCTCGTATTTACGTGACCAAGAAAATTTGCGCTTTGTATCACTGGACTCCACAAGGAGCCAGTGCATTCCTGATTCCTACTCTCTTCCAAATACCCTTCCTTCAGTTCACGCCATGAACGTCCATATCTCCGATGTAGCCTGTTCTCTTCAGGAACTGTTAATACCAAATGGTAGTTCTGGCCTGCCATTGAAACGGGAAATATTTCAAGTAGGAGTGTCAGTCTCCCGCTGAGCCAGCCGACTTCAGGTTCATAGTTGCAATGCATCACGCCAGGGGGCAATGAGCTGGAATAGCAAACAGCCCGCAGTCCTTCCGTTCATGATTCACAGATCTCAGTGGCAGTGATCGCACGCTGACGTAATTTGATGCCCTTCCGAAAAAGAAAAACACTGAGCGAAGGGGACGGCTTTCTGTTATGGCGTCATGAATTTTATGCAGCTTTCTATTAAAATGATAATATCTTCGATTCTCATGAGATCACGTTATTGCAGGCCTTCAGCAACCTACCATAAGAAGCAGAGAGAAACTAATCACATGTTCATGTCTGCACACCAGATCACAGAACAAAATTATATCACGAAGGTAATTAACAAAACATTTTAAAATGTAGAAAAGTTCAAATATTTAAAATTACGGAAGCAAATAACAATTATATTCAGGAAAAAATAAAAGTAGACCAAATTCATGGAACACATCTGCCATGTCGTCCAGAGTCATTCGTCTTCTTGTCTGAAACGTTAGGGGAGAACACTTTATAAGGTGTTTGAGAAGGAAATGACCAGGAAAATATTTACTGAAGTAATAAGAGGTTTCAGAAAACTGCATAATGAAGTGGGCCACAATTTCTACTCTTCACCAAATATTAACAGGATGAATTTTAGAGCTCGCCACTGGATCCAAATTTCGCGGGTGATAAAAACCCGAAGCACAACTTCCTTCGGAGGGGAAGCTTCACGGAATGTAAAATAACCCTGCAAGCATGAAGGATGTGCTACCAGATGTCTCTAGTAGACAAATCAGGATTGAGTAGAAATTGTGCAGAGGCAGTATCGTGTCACTCACTGCACAAATGCGTTATAAAATACTAATGAGGCCCAATCCTTGAAAGCTCGTGATGATGATAATGAATTTTAAAGGATGACATCGGCGGGGCATGTAGCGCGCATGGGGAGATGAGAAATGCATTAAAAACTTTGGTTCGGAGACCTGATAGGCGGAGACCAGGAGTTGATAGGATAATATTAAAATGGGTCTTAGGTTAATGGAATGGGATTTGACACTTTCGTGGCGAGTACAATCAATAAAATCTTCTAGGGCAATCAGCCGCGTTAGCTGGTTATCATAGTAAACCGACGTTTCGGGAACAAACTCTGTCCCCATCTACAGGGCTCAGTCTCATCAAAACCCTGAAGATGGGAGAGTGTTGGGCAAAATTCATGTGCTTCAAAATACGGACCGATGCCCGACTCTTGTGAGAACCCGAATGGGCCTTCGGTTTCCATAAATGGCGGGACATTTCTTGAGTAGCTGAGAGTACTAGAATTTCACAAGGACTCTGGTCAATAGGACGTAATATATTAAGTCGCTGATCGTTGCTCATCATTCATGACATTGTGTCCTGGAATTTATTCAACTTCATAATTCTACTGTGTGTACTCATGTACGAGAAAAGACATCGTCTTTTGTTGCAGGAAGGTCGCTGTATTTAGATTCAAGTCGCTTACCGACAGAGTGAGTGATTCACCGCCGATAATGACGGCAGTTCTGTTAATTCTCTCCTCTCCCACCCCCTGTACAGTGTCTATTCCCTGAACGCGTATTTCGAGCGAACGCTCTCGAGACCCCACTGTGACATGAATCAGATATCACGTAATACAGCAGCAGCAAGAACTGAGAACGAAACATCAGCGTCTGTCTGCTTCTGGTCTACAGAATGTAGAAATTAACACAATTACTATCCATACACGCCCGAACCTGTTCTAGAAACTGAGGCCATTTTGGAGACATCCGATCATCACAAGCAAGCAAACAATCCACCAATGAGAGAAAATACAAGGTGTACTAGTCAACCATAACATCAAAACCGCCCAAAAAGAATTTTCAAGGGACTGGAAACTAAGAATCATCTTCACCCAGTCAAGACACATAAGGCGGTATGCCCTTGTGCAAACGTCATTTATTATTGTAAGTGGAACGAAACTAATGGCAAATAAATTGAAAATTCTGCAAATGACTAATGACCTCAAACGTTCAGGCAAAATTAAATATATCTTCCATTATGAGGAAATATTTGTGCTAAAATAATGACCACTGCAAAAGCCCGTTGAAATATGACGAGAAATGATCTAAGGTTGTTAATCCCTTGATCCTTTCATCCTACCCATCTCCCCTTCGTACCGTTATCTCCTTCCAAACATTTCCACATTTCAGTTTCTTCTGTCCTTGTCATTATTTCTTTCCATCGAATCTCACACATCACATTACATGTCACATCGCACTGTCGGGAAACTAATGCAAATGTACGTAAGCTTACATCACTTCTCACGATCTCGTACAGCATACCTCGGAGATATTGCGGGTTCGGTTCCAGACCACCGCCATTAAGCGAGTCACACGAATTTCTGGGTTTCCCAGTGCATATAAAAGTTATGTTTACACTATACTGTAGTATATTAAGTGTGCAATAGCATTATGTCTAAAAAATAATGCGAGAACATTGCGAGAATTACCAAAATGTGACACAGACACACGAAGTAAGCGCATGCGCGCCGATAGACTTGCTCGACGCAGGGTTGCCACACACCTTTAATTTGTAAAAAAAACAAAAACAACGCAATTTCTGCGAAGCGCAATAAAACGAGGCATGCCTACTAGGAAACAAAAACAGCTTTTCAATCTTTCGAGCAACGTGGTTAAATCGTTGCAACTTGGGACAAGTGTTCCGACATTTTTTGACAGAACAACTAATTTTGTTTCGAAAAGAAAATAATAAATTGATGAATTTTCCTTCAGCGAGTGAGTGTGACT